TGTAGTAAGGTATCATCTCTCTTTCTTTTCTATCGGTACTACTTCCATCACTGCTCTGATGAGTAAGCGAGTTGCATCCCTCCCCAACTGCTGAGGTGGCAAAACACTCGCCATGCAGCCTCGTCTCACAAGTACTGTGTGCAGATTTGTAGATCGCGGAGTGGTTGCTGAAGCGACTGCTTCTTTCCATCTACCTCCAGATTCTATAGCTATTTTCCTCCAATCCTAATTTTTATAACCTGTCTTCCTTCAAAAAACGGATCTATCATCATCTCAGGGCCTAGTCCAGCCAAATGTCTAGGTCCTTAGTACTTTAATTATTCTTTTTGCCTATTCTTTTCCTATTGTGTACCATTACCTCATCTCTGCCTTATTCTTAACCTTTTACTTTTCCTTTGGTCTTAAAGTTTTCTTCATGCCCGGGCCTTTATTGATGAGGGCAATTTTCTTGCCTGTCCGGGTGTCAGACTTAAAAAAAAAAGTAGCTATAGCCATTCACATAACAGAATTCACGAGTGTCTCATGAAATAACATTATTATGCCATCGATGCTCACTGAAGTTTATTCTGATTTCTTATTTGATATGTAATATGTTTTCTTGTTTTTCATATGCACACAGACAAAGATGCGCATATACAAACATAAATATATATATAATTATATATATATATATATATATATATATATATATATATATATATATATATATATATATATATATATATATATATATATATAGATATATATGATATATATATATATATATATATATATATATATATATATATATATATATATATATATATATATATATATATATATATATATATATATATATATATATATATATATATATATATATATATATATATATATATATATATATATATATATATATATATATATATATATATATATATATATATATATAGATATATATGTATATATATATATATATATATATATATATATATATATATATATGCATATATATATATATATATATATATATATATATATATATATATATATATATATATATATATATATATATATACGGTGATCCCTCGCTTATCGCGAGGGTTTGTTTCCGGGACCACACGCAAAAGGTGAAAATCCGTGAAGTAGCAGCACCATTCTTATTACAGGTATTTTACATTTATTTTTACCTTTACTGTATAAACTCTCCCTGTACTGTCAACAAGTCACCCTTTACTTTATTAATAACAGCTCGCAAGCGTAAATTTATATGAGTGTGACAGGTAAGTTTACCATTAATATCAGCGTGCAAGCATAAAGCTATATGAACGTGATAGGTAAGCTTACCATGAATGACGTGATGATGACGTTTACATACTGCAAAGCCAATGGCGGCCGACAGCCGAGAATCTTCTTCCTTCCTTCAGCACATCTAACAGTTTTACCTTATCTGCTATGATCAACATCTGCCGTTTAGGCTCACTACCAGAGGCCTTAGTAGTTGAAAGATGCTTTTACGGCATTGCAGGGGTTGAAATACACAAGCTAAAGCTTCACAAAAAACACAAGCACAACTGATTAAGAAGCACAACGAGAAAGGTGCACAGGTGAGTAGCTGCAAGGGAGAGGCGAGGCAATGGAAGGTGCTGGGAGAATTGAGCTTCAATTAAAAAACCAATCAGACCCCAGTATACAGAACACAATTCTGTGGTTCGTCGTCTCCCACCCATCAGCCAATAGCATCCCATGTAGTATCTCATGTAGGTGTGACCCTTTGCGTTTTCCAAAACGCTGATACCGGTATAGTATTTAAAATAATGTAATACTGTGAGTTACATGTTTAAATTTATGTTTTTTACTTTTTTTACTGTTTTATTATTTTTAGACTAAGAAATGCTTTTTTTTATCAGTAAAATAATCAAAATACTTAAAATTTTAATATGTACTATCTCACCTAGGAGCGACCCTTTGAGTTATCCGAGACGCCGATACCGGCATCGTATTTCATATGATGCAATAGTGTCAGCTACATGTTGAAATTTATTTTTTTTACTATTTTATTATTCTTAGGCTAGGAAATACTTTTTTTTTTATCAATAAAATAATGAAAATACCGGTATCGCATTTTATATGATGCAATGCTGTGAGTTACATGTTTAAATTTATGTTTTTTACTATTTTTTAATGTTTTATTATTCCTAGGCTAGAAAATACTTTATTTTATCAACAAAATAATGAAAATACTGGAAATTTTAATACGTCCTATCTCACGTAGGTGCGACCCTTTGCATTTTCCAAGACGCCAATACCAGTATCGTATTTTATATGGTGCAATGCTGTGAGTTACATGTTCAAATCAAATTTTTTTAATATTTTTTACTGTTTTATTATTCTTAGGCTAGGAAATATCTTTTTATGTCAACAAAATAATGAAAATACTGGAAATTTTAATATATCCACATATCGTGGATTCACGCGATATACCCAGAAAGTCTGAGATATAAAATACATATGCTCACCAAATAAATCCGCGATGCACTAAATTCGCAGAAGGTGAATCACGATATAGCGAGGGGTTAAAAAAAAAAAATATA